GGGGGGGGGGGGGGGGGCTTCAGGGTAAAGCTTCAGAAATATGGAGTTCAGAAGTTTAGAAAGCTCCCTGTTATGAAGAACCAGGCCTGTATATACAGTATGTCTTCACTTGATAGGAGCAGCACAGCCATGTAGGTGCATAGGAACCAGGAAATGCCTATAGAGGGAATGCATTGTGTGCCAGCTGCACCAATGACTCCACAGTAATCACCCATATAGTGCCAGGGGCTTGTGTATTACTGGATAAACTGGAAAGTAGCTGGTATACATTTTTTTTTTAATGTAACGTAAGCCCTTTTGAATGCAAGCAAAACCTTCTCAAGGCTCACTATGAAAAGTCTAGGTCTTAAGTATGTTGCGAGTATGTTTGACCTACTTTCCTCACCAGGCCTGGTTGGTATGAGATCTAAGCCACGGGGTGAGTTCGGGTGAATTTCAATCGCTCACATTGCTGCGCTCTATATATTTCATGGAGTTAGGACCTGAGATGATCCCTCTCATCTCTGCAGGCCCCACCGCCCCTCCTTGGTGCATAAAGACACACATGTACACACAAATATCCACACACACGCACACACACACACACAGCCACATTCTCTCTCACTGTCAGGGCAAACTGTGCAAACACACCCTGCTCTCAGCTCTGCGTTTGTGTGTCTTTACGCGCACGCATGTGTGCTTACTGCGGCTCGCCAAACTGTAAACAAGCAGTATTGTCTAATGTCTGTGTGTGACTCAGTGTGCCTTTTGTGGGTTTGTTTGAGTTTGTGTGTGCGCATCTGTGTTTTAGTATGAGGGAGAGGGAGCTTGAGTGAGACAGAGACAAAGAGAGCATTTCTCTTTACCCTGGAGCTTGGCGAGGTCCCAAATGAAAGGCTTTGGATATGATGGGGCGGCTCACTCCAGCCCTCATCAGTCACTCACACCAAAGTTGGTTGTGTGCCTCTCACAGGGTGGGATTCAATCAGTTTGTTCTCACAGTTTGAGAGATTGTCTTTGTTTGTTATGTATCTGTGCGTGTGTGTGTGTGTGTGTGTGTGCAGCATGCATTCATGCAACACTTTTAAGTGGTGAAGCATCCGTGTGAAAAGTAGCTTTGTCTAGGGTATGCATGCACACTTTTGTACATTGCAGGCCCGTGTACTCATCTGTGTATCGAACACTTACTGGCATTCGGCTTTGAGTAAAGGTTTATGGTCCACAGAAACGCCACGTGGGTTTATCAAGGGTTCTGGTTTATTGTTGGCTGTCATGATGGAGGTTATATAGCGGTGGTAGCGGGTACAGAGGGCATATACGGCTACATGTCCCGGTACAGATAAGCAAATTCAGTCAAATAAGGTCATGTATACTTAAACATGAGAGGAAAATATCCGGTGTGATCTTTGCAGTACAGTGTTCACACCCACAGCAGAGGCTTCTCCTTTAATTGAATATTTACAGGCATAACATAGGAATCATCCAGAGGGTGCAGGGCAAGGGGGTATGTTTGCCTGCGACTGTTCAGAGAAGTGAATGGAAACATGCTATGCGCGGTGTTTGTTTAGGCCACACACACACACACATTTGCACATAGAATAACAGAACATGACCCAGTTATCTAAGGACACTGGGATTTTATAGCTCATAGAAGGCAGAGAATGAAAAGGCTTTTACTGAGCCTGCTCCTGGCAGTAACAACTACTGTGAGGCTGAAGTGACGTATAGGATTAATGCAATGTAGATTATCCTCGGAAGCTTCGGCAAAACTTTGTTTCAAATATCAACGTGCTGCGAGGCTGCTAAAAGTCTTCAGTGGGACTGTGTGAAGAAATATTTGTGGCCTATGTCCGTTGGATATGCCAAGGCATATAATTCCTACTCGGGACTGCCTTTATTTAGAATAGAGGCATTTCATTATGAAGAATTTGGCCTAGTAGTAATAAAAATAGACTTCCATTAGGTTTAGTGCATGTTTGGTATTACTTTGTCCCGGTGTTACTCCGTACTGGCACTTCGTTGGATCCATTAATGGAAGAGTCTTGACATTCCTCACCTGTTTTGCTTTAGCTCTGTTGCTCCTTGAGCTTTCTGTCTTTTCACACAGCCTTGTTACATTACACCCCCTCCTCACATTGTCTGCTGATAACCCCCATCACACCAAAGACACACAGCGCAGGATTAAACACGTCATTGTCATTGCTGTGAATGGACCCACCCTAACCCTAACCCACTAACCCATATTACATGTACACACAGACGGGTCACAAAGGAAAAACCAACATTACGTGTCTTAGTGAGGGGTTTGGGGCCCTCCCGCGGGGTCAAACATTCAGGCCTGTACACATGCACTCACCACCTGTCAACAATATGGTAAATACGGTTTAAAAACTCAACCTTCGACGTCTCTTGAGACCAGTTCCTCTGGTTTTTGCGCCGCTGAGCTTTCCAGTGTGCATTCGTCTTTGTAATGAGGGGTTTATTCACTCCAACCCTACTATAATATCCCTCTGACAAAATCAGAATCAACTGAGCCGACTCAGCACTTTTCTACTTACCACAGAGCATGATTGGATGTGAACTGCTTAATTGTACCATGCAGTGGACCCGTGTGGAAGCATTTATTATGTTTCCCCACTCATTGTTTGAGGCCTTTCCTTTAATTTGTCACCCGTATGTGTGTGTGTGTGTGTGGTGTGTGTTGTGTGTGGTGTGTGTGTGTATATATATATGTATATATATACACACACAAAGTATGAACAGCAAAAGTCTGATGCTTCCAAGTGAAGTTGAACTTGTGTTTAATAACCCCTGTTTTGTGTAGATGGGGTATAACTTTGTCTTTGTATAACTGTGTCGTTCCTCTCTTTCTGTTTCTCTTTCCCAACAAGACCCTTTGGTGGTGTGCGTTGGCGCACCATGGCCCAGACCCTCCAGATGGCGATCCCAAACTTTGGCAACAATGTTTTGGAGTGTCTGAATGAGCAGCGGCTGCAGGGCCTCTACTGCGACGTCTCCGTGGTGGTCAAGGGCCATGCCTTCAAGGTACTGATGAGACTGCAAGTTCTTATTGTTCTCATGGCGGAAACTGCATTAAAAGTTAAGGCTGGGTTTAGAGAAAAGTTTGGGTGTAAACAAGTGGCTCCACGGCAGTCATGTTACATTTTGTTACCCTTTTTTTCTTTTCCTTTTCCCATGCACCGGCCAATCTGAATAACAATGCTCTTTTAACAGTGTGCAGGTTTTCGTCCTTTTGTACTGGAGGAGTTTTTGTTAAAGTCTTCCTCTCTAGCTGAAGGTTTGCTTGTTGTAGTCTTTGCTTGGAATGACAACAGGACCTCCTTAATGGCCTGTAATTTCCCCCTTCTCCTGTAAAGGTAATGGGTTAATGGCTTCTTTAAGACCCCCAATTGCAGTGCCCTGACTCTTGGTTGGATGTCGTTCATCACTCACATCAAGGCAGATTTTCCTTACCTTCTCTGCCCTATAACCTCGTTTTTAGCTCCCAGTATTTCACTGACCCCAACAGTATGAAAGACGTCACTGTGGCAGTATGGCTTTCTTTCCAGGAACATTGGAAGAACTCCAAAATTAGCATTTTAGGTATTGTATTATTATTGAATAGTTGATTTAATTTAAAGACGAATAAATAAATGGCTTAAATACAGACTGAATTTAATTCACCAATTGTCAGCACCAAATTCTTGGGCAGTGGTTGATATCTTAGTCTTCTTTACTTAATTTAATTTATATCTTTATGAAGTTTAAACTGCTTTAATTGACAGCGTTCTTGTGCAGCTGTTTTATGTGAAGACAACATGAAACACTAAATTATAAGATTCAGCTTATAATGTAAAAAAAGGTAAGCATATAAAAGTCTAGTCTAGTTTTAGTTTGTGTGTTCTCCAGCCTTAAACAAATTGGTATGTTAGTTTCTAAGAATCTCTGGCGATCCTGTCTTCATATCAGGTATCTCTGCATGGAGTTCATTCACCATAAGCTCTTTGCTTAGAAAGTCTGATCTAAGGCTCTTTGTCAGCAGCAATCCCACATTTAATATTCAAGCACTACTTTCGAAAGTTCTAATGGGATGCTTTACTTATCTGTTTTTTTTTTTTCTTAGGCCCATCGGGCTGTGCTGGCTGCTAGCAGTTCTTATTTCCGAGACCTTTTCAGCAGCAATAGCGGAGGTGGTAGCAGCAACGAGACGAGCCCAACCATAGTGGAGCTCCCATCGGCAGTGCAGCCCCAGAGCTTCCAACAGATTTTGGCTTTTTGCTACACAGGCCGTCTCAGCATGACGGTGGGGGACCAGTTTCTCCTCATGTACACTGCCGGCTTCCTGCAGATCCAACAGATCATGGAAAAAGGCACGGAATTCTTCCTCAAGGTAAAGTTGAAATAGTTTTCAGTAGAAACTTGACACATTATCATACATTGCACATATGAAAAAGGTAAAAGATGCTTTTGAGTTTTCCAAATTTAAAGGCAGATGAGATTTTTCTAAAAAAGAAAAACAAATCTATGGACAAAGTTAATCCTCGACCAGGTGCCAGATTGTTAGCACGCATCCAAGAGGAGCCGTTGAGCTGGGGAGGATGGGCCAACTTTAAATGTTGTGTTTACAAACCACAACCAACTAATTCTACTCATTTTCTCATTCAAGCACCATAAACACACAAACCAAATACCATTCACTGTACATCAGCCGTATAAGGTGGTGGCAAAAGTCTCAGCGGCAGTGTACCAATTCTGGTGATCTGGCTGGTATGACTGTTTAAAATGAAGTGTTTATACCAGTTGAAAGAGTTCTGAGATATAACTCGTCTTCAGAGTTTGGCCAATAGTTTGGCAGAATGGAAAGGGTTCATCTGGGGAGCATGTATGCACAAACGTTGGTGCAAGTAGAGTTAGAGTGCGATGATGGTTCCAGATAAGGGATACGGTGGTTGAGATCAAACGCGAGCAAACGCATATCTCTTGGTACATCAGTGTGTTCATGTATTCTGACACAAAGTTCATTTATTCATTGGTGTCTAGGTCTCCTCCCCCAGCTGCGACTCCCAGGGCCTTCATGGTGAGGAGGCCCCACCCTCTGAGCCCCAGAGCCCTGTAACGCAAACCAGTAACGGTGCAGCCCGGCCGACATCCTGCCTGACGCCGCTCTCTCTGGTATCACGAGTGAAGACAGAGCAGCCAGCTAGCCAGCCGGAAGCCGCCACGCCTTACTCAGTGGTCTGCACGCCTGTAGCCAAGCGGCTGTGGGAGGGTGGCAGCAGCCGAGATGGAGGTGGGGTAGGCTCAGGAGGAGGAGGCGGGGCCAGAAAGGCAGCCCGTTATTCCCAGGAGGCGGTGCGGGGCAGTGCGATTCAGAGCCCCGGGGCCCTCGGACTGGCCATGGGCATGGGCGCCACCGCAACCAGCCTGGCGGGCATGGTGGCCAGTGGCGGGCCCGCTCCAGGGACGGCACCAACGGGAGCCTCTGCGGCAGGTCTCGGCATGTCAGAGGGCGCCAGCCCCGGCACCCTGAGTACGTACGCCAGTGGACTCACCACCCATTCAGCTACCATGATGATGAAGAAGAGGAAGAGGGAACAGATGAAAGTGCTGAAGAGCAATATAGGCAAATCTGCAACATGTATACCATGTACAGCATGCTCAACATGGGAGCTGCAGGTAATGGATATGAGACAGAGTGCTACATGTAAAAATGCACCTGCAAGACAGACAAAGTGTGCCATTTGTTTTAAGGTTTACACCCACTAATATCTTAGTTGAAAGATCATTTAATAATGCAGATAGTAGTATAATAAATTTTGGGTTTTAGCAGGCATCATACTGAGCACTTTATTTTCCCTGTGTAGTTTTATTCTAATCTTGCAGTACTGTTTCTCCAGCTGCTGGCGAGCGCGTTGAGGCTCTACCGGACCACACAGAGACACGGGGTCGGATGCGAGGCAGAGACCTGACGTGTCTCCCCGCAGAACTCATCGCTCAGATAGGCAACCGCTGTCATCCCAAACTGTACGAGGAAGGCGACCCAGCTGAGAAACTAGAGTTAGTCTCAGGTATGTTTGTAACTCTGGGTGTTTTTTGTTCTTTGTCTTTACAAAACGACAGACTTGAGTTTTAGCCGGTAAAATGCACAGAATTGCTTTTCAGTGTTTATCTAAGACCTTTAAATATTTAGAAGATTTATGTAAAATCTATATTAGAGATAAAGTAATCTTACAGAAATATTCTAATGTGAGTTGATTCGAAGTATCTAAACAGGTCAGCTGCACTGATATGTATACACATATTCATAGGAAGCTGTCCTCAAATGACCGGGCTTGGCATTGGCATGCAGAGTATGCGGAGGCCTTGCACATTTGACTCAGTGTGTTTATGTCGAGGACATCCTGTGTTACCTTATGGCCTGAATTACATACCTTTCAGTGTAGTGTGTGCGTGTGACTAGAGAGAATGAGAGAGCCATGAATCAAGAAAGGGAGAAAAGAGGGGGCAGATAAGGTAGGGATATGCCAAGCTAGTATTGGACACACAGAGGAAAAGAAATCAAACAGGAAAGACATTTAAGATGGCAAAAAGAATCAAACTCTAAACTATGACACGCCACTAAAGCACAGCCTCTTTACTCCCCATCTACAGCTGCAGTGTTGGATATGAATCCGAGTTGTCACTAGATAAGCAAATACTTCGTGCCAGTAAGTCAAAGCGAAGATCCTGACCATATATGACCCTCAAAATGGGAACTTTGGTCAAACATGCCATAAAGTGAGACAGTAAATGAGTCACAGAAATGGTGCCAAGCGCTGATGAGGTTTGGTGGTTCATTTGTTTGTTTGCAGGTACTTCTGTGTATATATCGCGAGCCCAGCTAATGAACTGTCATGTGAGCGCAGGGACCAGACACAAGGTGCTGCTAAGGAGGCTGCTGGCTGCCTTCTTTGACAGGTTTGTCTCTACTGTCTGTGTGTCTGGGTCTATTTCTGCAAGCGCTCCGTGTGAAGTTAGCAAAAGCTTGGTTTTAATATAGAAATTAATGTATTTTTTTTGTTTTTATCTGCTGGCATTAAAGCTATTTTTGTTTTCCTCTGTTCTGTGCAACTCACTTCTTATTTTGATGTTTCAGGAATACTCTGGCCAACAGCTGTGGAACAGGCATCCGCTCGTCCACCAATGACCCGAGCCGCAAGCCCCTGGACAACAGAGTCCTGCATGCGGTCAAATGTGAGCGTACATGTTTTTCTGTCTGTGGGTGTTTTCCCACAAGCATGCAAACAATTCTGCTTGTGATGTCGAGTACAGACGGAGGGGAATGTACACGCATTCACTTTGACATATTGTAAAGCACACCGTTGCATTGTTGTTGCGGAATTTAATGACTGGCTGTTAAATGTCTCGGTTCAATAGGTCAGTTTGAAGGCTACTTTTGGACGAGAGTGCAAATGCTTTTAAACGATTATTTGCTGCCTTCAGCACCATTATGATTAGCATTAGGTAATAACTCACACTGACCACTAGATAGCAATATTCACTGTGAAAGCGAACGCCAGGCCCCTAAAGAAACGGATGTATGTGTGTATATAACCAGGTGTGTCATGTGACAGACACTGGTTTCTATTTATTTAAAAAGCCCTTAAAGCCATCGTATACCATTTACTTATTAAATTGTTCCTTTAGTCGTTATTTGATTTGTTCAAGTGATTGGCTGATGCTCAGAGTCTTGCATGCAGACACTTAATTTGGAAAAACGTAATATTGTGTATATTTAGTTTTAATTGTACTTTCGACATGATTGAAAATAAGGGCATGCCCTCAATGATTCCTCAAGATTTAACTGAAGGTTGAGTGTGTAACTCCTTTTGAAAGCTCAGTGAAGTTTGGGCTCGCTTTTTGAGGATGAGAGCAATCCCCTACATCTCATTAGTAAAATAGATAAGGCAGCAGGGCATGTTTTAGGACATCAGTCTCTGAGCGGCTCCATTTACAATTCAGTATCAGGGTGTGTGATCTGCAAATATCATCTATATTCTTTTAAATGTGTCCCCCTAATCTCAATATAGGGGGACTGTTATACAGCAGTTGCCAACATCAACTAAAGAATGTAGGATAGGAGGAGGCAGATGTGAGGATTTGTTTCATGTCGTGCAGATGGTTCAGGTTTTACATGTACAGTAAAATCCAAATTTATTAATACTGCAGTGTGAGGAGGAGGAGGAGCTTTGTCACTTCAGACTGCCTGAATTCTCCATGCATGAAGTTGTGCCAGAACCCCAGTGCGACATTTAATCAAGTGCAGAATGAACGAGCACCATAGCACACATTACTCCTTATGTAATGTGTATTCCACTTGTGAACATTAAAAAACAAATATTTCCCCTGACCCCTGTTGCTGTTTGTTGTTAAGGTTGCTTCATAACACTAGCTTTTGTCTTACTTGTCCTCCACAGTACGTAACATGCATTCATCCTGTTGTTTCCCCTTCTCCACGCCAGTTTATTGCCAGAACTTTGCCACCAGCTTCAAAGAGAGCGAGATGAACGCCATCGCCGCCGACATGTGCACCAACGCCCGACGCGTCGTCCGCAAGAGCTGGATCCCCAAGCTGAAGCTACTGATGGCCGAGAGCGACGCCTACACCGCCTTCCTCCCCGACGGCGTAAAGATGGAGGACGACACCCTGGGGCCGGACCCCGCCTTCGACCCCGCCTCTCTGGAGGCCGCCGGCGCCGCTGGCATTGAGTCGGGCGGCTCGTCAGGTGAATCGCTACAGGGCGTGGGCGGGGATGGAGGACCGTTATTTTGAACATTGTGTCGGGGGGGGGGAGGTTGAAATTTGGTGACACGCATACCAGTATTCCCCAGTTCTGCTTGCCTCCTCACTCTTTGGCCCACGCTGATCTCTCACTTCTGACTGTCTATACTACACTGCTAGGGTCAACAGCTGTTGTTACCCTGATGTAACCAGGACATGAAAACTTACATTTCTGCTTTATGACTGTACAATGGAGTTAGTTGAGGAAAAGGGAGAGAGTGAGAGGATGTTTTCTCCTAACTGCCCTCTGCCTCCCCTTGTCTTTTAAGGTGTGTAAGCGCGTCCACTGTTGCATATTAAATACATTCCCTTAAACGCTGGTGGTGGGGGGGGGGCTCCTGAGGAGGAAGGGATGTGCTGGATGGACAGGCTCGGAGTAGGAAGTGTGGAGTATATTGAATGTAAGTGTCAGTGGCATTTTTGTCTATGCAAGCCTGACAACTTGTATTCCAGCCCTGGAAAAAGGAACTAAATTTAAAATAGATCCGATAATAAAAATGAGTTGACACTACCTGTTCTTCCTCCCCCTTGCACCTTCCACTCATCACCCTGCAAGTATTCGTCACCCCTCGCCACCTTTTTTTAAAACAGAGAATCTCACCCGAGTGTTTCACTGTGCAGTGTCTTATAGAGATCTAGCTCATCTCATCCGTTTTCTAAACCTTTAGCACGTTTCTCCGTCTACAAGCTGAAAAGTGATCCAGAGAGAAGGGGTAAGGTTTTTTTTACTGAAAAGATTGTAAAGAAAATTTAATGGCAACAGGTAATCAAAGATGGTCTTATTTTTAGAGGATAAACTATATTTATACAAGTGCCCATGCCTAGAACGGTGTGAGCAAAGAGAGAGAAAGGGATTGTTTTAAAATCTCGATCTTCATGTTTTATTGAAAGAGGTCTTGTCAAATAAGGAAAAGTGCTATTTTTGCAGAAAAAGAGGAGTATAATAAATCACTCATATCATAGGACCCGTAGTCATTTATTTTTATCTTTATTTGACGGTGCAGAGTGATGGAATGAGCAGTTGAACTGCTACATCTGAAGCATTTCATCTTCTGTTCACGAGCTTAAAAGGAATAAGACTGATTCAGCTGGCTTGACAGTTGTCTACGATAACCATTTCTTGTTAGGTTGTGAACCTGCAAACGTTTGCCTCCTCGCATAAAACATTGGCCCATAATTTTGAAGATGACTTGTAGAAACATTAGGGTTATATTGATGTGACAACTCAGCTACTTTCTTCCTTCTACTGAAAAAAAAAACTGCTGACATGTTTGTGCGAATGCAAAAGTCATAGGAAATAATTACGTAGACTATTGGAACGTGCCTTTTTAATTGAAACCAATAAGCAGAAGCCTGATGGGTACGGTGACGTCATGAGGAGGCAATAGCAAAAATAGTTTTTATGGTACTATCCGTGTGTGTGAAGCAGTTCTTCGGTGAAGAAGAGAGTCTGTATGGTGTGGCTGTGTCTTATGGTATGTAGTTTATTCATGTATCGAATGCACCACCTCTTTAATTTTGCACCTTCCATGAGAGGTAGAGTGGAGGTTTCTGCACCTTAATGAGAAGAACCAGTGGTTCATGCACCTTTTTTTTTTTGAGAAATGTTGTGTAGCAACTGAACCCCTGTAGGTGGAATTTGTCTTTTTTTTTTTTTTTCATGTCTGCATGTGTTTCTTGTTAAAAAGTGGCAAAAACTCCTACTGTAAATAATCAAGAAGACTGTTAATTTGAGTTAAATCCCAAGTGTTCTTCCTTTCTGTTGCTGGATGCATCTGATTATGAAATGTCAACAATTGACCTTTTTTTATGTTAAAGTTTGTGTTTGCTACAAGACTTTTAAATGCACGTTGACCTGCAGATTACAGGTCAGTACAGGGGATTCATTATTCCCGTTCAGGTGGTCTGGGTGTAACTTAGGAATGTGTTGTTAACCTGAAATGCTCTCACAGACAACTGATGACTTTCTCCTTCTGGAGAGGCATTTCTAAGAAGGTTCTATTTTTTTTTTTTTCTGAAGACCGGTACGGCGTAAAAAACGGGAAAAGAGTTAATGCTTCTTACTCAAGGCAGTTGAGTCAATCTTACTGAAAGAATCACTAGAGGCATGATAGATATAGCTCAACCTATTTTCATGATTGATTAAAAACTATAAGAAAGAGTTTATTTAATTATTTTGACCTGAGTGTGTATGGAGAGAACAAAAATGCAGTACCTTGTAAGTATTCTGTTATGGGTAATGACAACAAAACCTCAGTAAGCTTTGCATTTGACTGTAGGTGCTACATGAGCACCCCTCCCCCACTTACCTCTCCAGTATCTTTGAAGACTGTTGTGCTTCCTGTCCTTCATGCAGCTGGTGTCATGTTTCACTTCCACAAGTTTATTCATGTGTTTCAGAGAGAGGCACAGCAGTGGTTTATCGGTTCGATTTGAATTGTAACACGTTAGTGTTTAATTTTCTTAATGGCTGTTAACTGAGCCAAGTTCAACAAAGCTCAAATGACATCCTCATGTTTCCCCTATGTTTGGATTATTGCAGGTGTATTTAAATTACCATAAACCCTTAAAGAGTTGATCACATTATGTTATGTGGGAAACCTGTTATTTTAGATTTCATATACATCAAACTCAAGCTTTTCAAAGTAAATCCACTATAGTAGCAGATTCCTAGGAAACTGTGCAGAGTTAAAGGACCAAGAGGAATGTGTTCCAAGTCCAATCAATAGGACCTCTGCATTTAATGTAGGGAGTTTTGGCACATTCAATCTAGCAATGGAATTGAATTCTGGGAAAAATCATTTAGCATAATGTCTACTAAATCTGTCAATGCTCCTGCCTAAAGAAAGCCAGATATGACTATAGCCAAATTACTGTTCCAATGTCTGAACTTAGCTCCATTATTACTGGACTGTTATTGATTGTGTCCGTCACTCAGGTATTAATAAAACCTGGGTATAATTACCATTGGCACTCTCAGAAAAAACAGCGAGTCTCCCATAGAAAACAAAAAAGACCTAAGAATGAGCAACCTTTAAAAGTGAGGGAAAAAAACAAGGGCTTAAATGAGTTTCTCACAATAACCACGTGACACACCGAATGACTTGTACTCCATTCTGAGTCACTTACTAGAACTGAAATATCACCAGTGAATCAGCTTTTGATTCTGAGGAAGCCATGTTGGTCTGCTTTCACAACACAGCAGCTCAGCCCACATCCAGACCATGTCCACGGTCAGAGTGTCCTGCTGTGCATAGAAACACTGGTTTAGGGCCTGCTGTGTTGTGATCAGTTGAACAAGTGATGTAAAAATAACTGTGGTTACAGTACATGTCAGGGGTTTTTACCTATAGTCATCTTTCAGGGCCAACTCTAGTACATGTTCAAAAAGTCCCTCATTCACAACCTACTTGCATCTGTGCAGTGGGTGCGTGAGTTTTACTTTGTGTTGGTTTTTTTGTTTTTTTGTTTTCAGTACATTCTAAGCAAATTGTAATTTCTGTACCTTTCAACGTATGTATTTACACGTCACAACATGTGTAGACCTACACACTTGAATGGATGAGGTGCGGCACGGCATGGGGAACCTTTTTGTCACTAAACAGTACATATATAAATATGATTATACACATGTATAGATAAATACTGTATATTATATATAGACGCACACATAGAGGTCAGATTGTTTGTTGTGCACTCGCAGCATGAGGTATATATTTACCCAGAAACAGCGCTTCTTCACAACCTGTGCAGTAATTGGTCTGCCCATGTCTTTGCCCCTGCTCCTTACCCTCTGTAACCCTGTAGCGCCAGTGGACATCCTGTACTGCTCATCCTATTCTTTCTGTGTTCCAAGTGCCAATAACTTTGTGAAAGCCCTGTAACTGTGACCCAGTAATAAAGATAATTGCACATTAACTACTGTAAAGAGTAAAAGAAACCAGACTGATTAAAAATGAGGAAAAAATCTGAATATCTTAATAA